AAAATGGGCTTTGAGTAATCCTTTGCATCTCCATCACCCTGGGAGAGGTGACAAGTTTTAAAATCCTGGAGGGATTGAGTAGAGAGAAAAGTAAATGTTTTTTTTTTTTTTTTTGTCTTTTTTCGTGTCCGGCAACGGATCGCAACCCTCAGTGTCGCGCCCGTACCGGACCGGGACCGGCAACGGGATCGCAACCCTTGGTGTTGAGCACTCACCTCACTCAGCCAGTGAGCGGGAACCGGTCTGTATGTGGGATCCGAACCCTCGGTGGGAGCACCGCCGCGTTCCCAAGCGGCACACTGTAGTAGTGCGCCACCGGGCCGGCCGAAAAGTAAATGTTTTAATTGTTGAAAAGAATCATCAATGTTTCATAATAAAGAAAATGTAGAAATCCCATTTTTTATCAGTTAATTGAGTTTTAGGTAATTAACTTTTGTTCTTCCGACCTTGGTTAGTAGTTTTATAAACCCATTCGTTTTTTTCGTTAGAGTAATGGTACAAACTCAAAGTTGTCAGTAACCTTTATCTGATAGTTTAGGACATAATACTTTAAAATTATGATTGAACCAAGGTTATGATTGATAGCATTTATATAAGACATAGATTTTTAAGAACCTTACACAATTTTGGAATACATATTAATAATATTTCAGTATAACATAAAGAAGATCAAACATTATTTTTGGCTTTGACAATGCTTCCCATATAGTCTAATTTATCAAATAAGCCAATTGTTTTTGACACATCTCTTATATCTATCCTTTGAGAAGCTCCAGGGCCCTTGGAACTTCTCAAAGTGAGTTCGAGTCAAAAGTTTGAGTTTTTAGAATTTGGTTTTGGAAAGTTTGTCAAATAACAAAGGCTTAAAATACTTAGCTAAATAAGATCACAAATCACCATAAAAATAAGACAAAAGTGACAAAGGATTTCAAAAGCAGAGAGCACAAGAAATTGTCTTTATGCAACATGGAATAAGTTTCTTAGACCAGTTATCTAAAAGATTTTTTTTTTTTAAAAAAAAAAACCTCTTACAATTTTCTATTAAGAGCAGTTAAGTGTTTTCAGGAAATCTGGTTGTTGTAATGTAGGAGAGGAAACTCTAACCTTGTATCAGATTACCTTTGATATTAATGTTTAATTTTTAGAAAAACTTATACATAATTTGATTTAAAATGATCTTTTTGGTTTTGACTGGGTTGACAACTTTAACCTTAAAAGCCTTTAGCAAAGTCAAATGTAATCCCATTTGGCTAGAAAACCCAGGCAAAGATGTAAGCTGATAATTCTGAAAACATTTTTTATAGTGATATGATTTTAAACCTTTTACCCCCTTTTTTCTTTAGCAGTCTTTTGCCTTAACATTTGCAGAATTCTGTGCACAGATACATTTCATTCAGAGATGTAGCCAATTGTAATTTTGTAGACCAATTTCTGTTGCTCAAACTTGCCTAGAGAAACTCAGTGAGACAACTTTTTGGTCACCAGATTTTAAATGACCAAAAGGCATGAATTTAGTTGCTCAAACCCAAGCATACAGACCTTTCCCAAACATACAAAATGTTGGCTTTTTTATCCTTGAGTCACTTCTCACCCCCAAATGGTAACTTTTTTTTTTTTGTCCTTTTTGAGACCGGCCACACCACGCTCAGCCAGTGAGCGCTGTGAGCGCACTGGTCATCCCTATATAGGATCCGAACCCGCGGCGGGAGCGCTACCGCACTCCCAGCGCCACACTCTCCCGAGTGCGCCACGCCACGGGCTCAGCCCCCAAATGGTAACTTTTAAACAGACAGTGTAAAAAGAGTGTTAAAGAGAGATGCTTGAAAAGGGAACAACAGGAAAGTAAGGAAGAACGCAAAGCACATGATGTTCAGCATAACTAGGTAGTGAAGCATGCAGCAAAGGAACACAGAAAGGAGAGGGCTGTCTATTGTGCCTCCACTAGTTTGGCTGCTGTAGTTACTCTTCAACACTTTTCAACCATTAGGCTAGGTGTTCGCTATTGAGTTCCATTGCAGGCTATAAATTGAAACTATTTTAATCACTGCAGGAAATATCCCACATTCCATCTTTATCTTAGAATGTTACACATACAATGTTGCTAAATGAGCCCCCGTTTCTAAACAAACCCTGCCATAGACTGGCTCTTTTTAACTTTTTTTCCTTTGCCTGTAAGACTGTGTGATGGGAGCATGTAGCCTAATTTGCTGTATATTCTTTGTCTATCCTGATGCAAAGTGGAAAGATTTGTGATCCAGTGACAAAGTGGTCAGTTTTGCCATGGACCACATAGCATCAACCCAAGACAGGGAGTGGTTACGCAAGATGGAGAGTTGGGTTTAGTTCATAAAAGAAGTATCTGGAAAGTAGTGTAGGAGTGATGGAGAGAGGGTTGAGAACGAAGGTAAACAAAGGCTTGGGCATAGGAGACTTTAGACCTCTTTCCATTGCAATGGAGGAAACTTTCTAAATTACGAAGAATTTGGAAATCGAAAGTGCCGTGCTCTGGCCACCGGCTTTCATTATCCAATTTGTACTGTGGCCAGGCAGTGTTGCAGAAGAAAGTAAGTCCTTCTGGGTGGATATCAGGTGAGAGTAGTAGGAGAGGCCTGATTGCCCAGGATGTGAAATGTAAATTTGGGGGGTGAGAGAAATTCAGGTCCCTGAGCTCCTCAGTGAAGACCAGGCGTCCCTGGAAATCTGTGAGGATCTGTGAGTGAGAGGCAAACCAACAACACCAGGCGCCCCTAAGTGTGGAGATGCCTAGCCACCAGTGTGGCTGAGAGGAGAGCGCTGGGTTTTGAGGACAGCCCTGGACTGTTAGTGAGCAGGGTCCCATAGTGAGAGGGAAACAAGAATTCACTGACCTAAGCAGAGATCAGTAGTCGGTGTTGGATGCAAGAATCAACAATGGAAGGTGCAGCGAAAAACGGCTGGCTCAAGTCTCAGGACAGGACAGACGAGGTGAAGCAGAAGAGAAAGATCTCCACTCTTTTGGGGGCTGATTACTGGGGCAAACAATCCTGGGGCCTTTATATGGTAAGGAGGTGTAGCCTCAGCCAATGGCCTTCAGTTATCTCGCCTTTTCATGGGAGATCTCTCAGAGAGAGAGAGTTGATGGCAGGTGGGGGTAGGGACAAAGGACTGCTCAGGATCCGAGAATAAGCCTGGAATGTGCTGCCACTGCCCATCCCTTCTCAGGTTGCAAGAGAAAGTCCTTTGCCCGAGTCCCAGACCCTGTTCCAGGGGTGGGGGGCAGAGAGAGAGAGTGAGCTTCACCAGGTTCATAGCCTGGGTGGCTGAAAGCCAAACTACCCTGTCCCACCATTGGGTACCAATAAAAGTTAGGTTTGGGGAGACGGTGGAAAGGGAGAGAAAGACCCAAGCCAGGCGCTATTTCAGCCAAAAAGCTTTATTCCACTAACATGGAAGGGAGACTGGCCAGATCAGTTCCCCTGAACAAAGGAAAGCAGGGGTTTATAAGCCTTTGAGGGTTCTGGCAGAGTAATGGGCAACTTCGAAATCAGTGGTATGCAAGGTGACACAGCCCTCGTAGTCTGCTAACATCTGATTGGTTAGGGCATAGGCTTCTGATCACTGTCACTGCTATATCAGTGCAAAGCGCTCCAGCTCGAAGTGAGCTACAGCAGCCCAGGAGATGTTCCTTTGATGAAAATGGTCATGTTTACCCCTTCCCAGGAGAGAAATTTCACTGCTCCGTTCCCAGAGCAGAAAAGGGAAAGGGGAAGGGGGAGATTAACCTGGCTGTGCTGATGTTAAGCAAGCCATGAGGCCTAATATAAATAAAATGAATTAGGCAATAATTCCTCTCTAGTTTGCACAGTGTCTTCATAAGGTCTTTCTCTCTAAATTTTGCTTAACGCTAGAGTGACCGTGCATTCTTTCATTCCACAAATACTATGTGCCAAGCAAAGATTTCAGCACAATGGAGCTTACATTCTAGGAGGAGGAGAAAGTAAACACTAATGTGTGTATTGTAGTGTGGGGGAAGGTAGAAAAGTGTCATTAAAAAATAGTAGAGGTGGGTAAGGAGGATGGGAGGGTGGGTTGCAATTTTAAATGTTTGCTAGGGTCTACCACTTGGCTCACTCGGGAGAGTGCAGCGCTGGGAGCGCAGCGGCGCTCCCGCCATGGTTTTGGATCCTATATAGGGATGGCCAGTGCGCTCACTGGCTGAGCTCCGTGTGGTCGACACCAAGCCCGGGGTTGCGATCCCCTTACCGGTCACAAAAAAGAAAAAAAAAATGTTTGCTTAAGGTCATTATAAGCAACAAATTGAAGCAGGTGAGGAATTATCCATATGCATATTTGAGCACAAGTGGGGAGCGTTCAGGAAGCGCAACAAGGCCAAGTGGCTGGAGTGGAATGGGAGAGATGCAAAATAATAGATTTGGTCAGAGAGGCAACAGGGCATCCTTCTGGATGAGAGGCTGCTTAATAAATCGCTATTTGACATTTAATTGCTGAAAAGGTAAAGCAAGTTGTTTGTTGTCCAAGAATAAAGTCGTTCTTGGCCGAGCCAACTCGATTTGAACTGGGGGAGTTTGCACAAATCACTTCGAAGCCTCAGCTTCCTCAAATAAAAATGCAAGGATTGGAGAAGGCCCTTAAGGGCTCTCTCTGTTCTAAAATCTCAGGCTCCAAGACGCTCCAAGACGGTAAAATGAGAATTGTGACCGCGCTGTGGCCTAAAGCAAAGGTCTACAACCCCAGGACACTGCAAACACAGGAACAAAAATCGCGGAACACGGTGCCAAGCCCAAAGGACGTAAGCGCAGGATCCCCGTTCCTCACGTACTCGCGACCCTCCACGCCACCAGAGACTAGCGCCCAGAGCGCCACGCTCCACGTGCGCCCGCCTCTCCCGACCTCCCGGTCCACATCCAGCTTCCGGGTCCCGGCCCACGCCCCGCCCACGCCCCGCCCCCGGTCGCCGCGCTAGTCCAGGGCGGCGGAAGTGACGTGAGGCCCAGGCGGCAGGGCTGCGGCAGGGCTGCGGCGGGCCCGCGCCGGCGACTCCCGCGGTCGGTCAGCGCCAGGCCCGGAACTCCGTAGCAGGATGGCTGTCCTCGCCCTCCTGTTCCTTATCACGCAGGTCGTGAGCAGAGCTGCGATGGGCACCGCGGAACCGGAGACGTTCTCGGGTACTGTAGCTCGCGGTGGGGCCGCGGCCGGGTGGGGACGGAAGGTGGGCGGGAGCCGCCCCTGCCGGGCCGCCCCCGGTTCTCCGCGGCCGCAATCGCCGCCTAGCCGGTGCCCGGCTTCCCAGGCCACCCCTGGCGTCGGGCTCTGCTACCTTTCTGTCGCCTCTGTGTTGCTGCCAACACAGTTTCTCTTGTTCTTTTAATCTGTTTTAAAATAAGCGAGTTTCCTGGCCAGCGTTTGACCCCGTGTCCACAATTCATGGCTTAAATACTATATTCTTAGGGTGGACCCAAAATAGGATAGGAGAGAAGGTGCTCTGTCGCCGGCCGAGAATTATTGTGACAGTGACTGGTTCGTCTTACGTCTAAGTCTGGAAGTGGTGGGATCCGTGCACTGACCAGCCGGTTTGTCAGGCCGTAGGTCTCTTCCCAGAGCTTAGTTCTCAAGAGCGTTTTATTTCCGCCTGCTTATTGACGTTTCTCAGGAAACAAATGATGAGGATAGCTTTTCTAAAGCTTAAAGTAATCGTGATTTGGAGCTCCGAAGAAATCAGTAAATCTTTTCAACCCAGCTTTCCCTTTCCCCACTTTCCCCAGTCTTGCGTGTCTCCTCTGTGTCCAGTTAGAAGCTGCCTGGAAGGGGAAGGGGTAGGGCCCCTAACCGCCTTAACGTCAGGCGAACTGTGGGCCTGAACCTCTGTATTATGACTTTTTCCAGGAGCTCCTGTTAGGTGTGCTCCATTTATATCCAGCCCTCCTTTGGCTTCTCTTCAAAAGTCAAGCAAACCGATAGTCATTCCTTGGAACAGACATTGTGCCAAGCGCTGGGAATACAAAAATGATGGTCACTCATTTTCTGCTGTCAAGGATCATGATTTTAATAACTAACAGTTATTAAGTGCTAGGCACTGTAAGTGTTTAACACATCTTGTTGTCACAGCAGTCCTGTAAAGTAGGCGCTATTGGTATCTCCATGTGTGGATGAGAAATTGAAGCGCAGAAAGGTTTGCCCAGCTGGCACAGAGGTCACTACTACTCAGTGGGGAGCTGGGCAGTTTGGCTCCAGAGTCCAAGTTCATAACCTCCCTGCCAACTGCAACTATCTAGGGCGAGTTAATCATCCACTTGGACAATTACAGTGCATGGATATTGTGATAAGATGAATTTAAGCACAAGCTCCTGGAAAGCAAGATGTGGGTGCCTGGCTCTGTCCAGGGAACTCAGGAAAGACTTCACAGAGAAGGTGACACCAGTGTTGGAACTGGAGGTGCAGAGAGATTGACGTATGCAGAGGAAGAGGTGTGAAATGGCATGTTGAATTAGTGGAATGTTAAGTGTTTTATTGTAGACTGTGTGTGTGAGGACACAAGGGGAGATAGGATAGATGGAGAGGTAGGAACCAGTTAATGAAGTGCCTTGTCATGTATACCAGCAAGGGATAGAAATATAGCTTTGGCTAACTTAAGCAAAAAGAGGAATTTATTGACTCAGAAAATCCAAGCAAGAGTTAAACAGAACGAGTCAGGCAGAGAAAAAGAAATACCACATGTTCTCACTCATTGGTGGGAGCTAAAAAATAAACAAATTAATTCACCCACATACACACACAAAAAAAACCGGGGGCGGGGGAAGAAGATATAACAACTATACTTTTTTGAAGTTGTTACAACAAGCAAACGGAAAGGACATTCTTGGGGGGGAGGGGAGAGAGGGAGGAGGGAGGGAGGTGTCGGTGATGGGCCATAATAATCATATACATTGTATATTGACAAAATAAAAATTTAATGAAAAAAAAAAAAAAGAGTTAAACAGAAAATTAGAGATGTCAGCTGGGCCTCAGGAAGCTAGAACCAGGAACCCAAACTACTGCAACTCTCCTTTTCTTATTTCTAACCGGGCATTGACAGCTTTCCCTACTTGACAGCAATCATGAATGCTGACAGCTTTTGGGTTTTGACATCTTGTAGCTTCCTCCAGCCCATGAAAATCCCAGGGGAAGACACTGATTTACCCAGCTTGGTTCAGGTACAAGCTCACATGGGAAGGACATTGTCACAGCGGGTGGGGTGAGGAGGAATGGTGTTCCTGAAAGGAGTGCAGGTGCTGAACCAACAAAATAATATGCCCATAATACCTTGCTGAGTTAGTGGGCAGTCACTGATAATTTTACAAATGGGAATGATTTTATGCAGGATCAGATATGTGATTTAGAAAGACCAGTCATCTTATAAAGTATTTGGGAGGAGAAGCCCATTAGAAGGCTGCTGCTTAAGTCAGGGAAGGAGTTGTTGAGAAGTGATAAATAGAGTTTAAGTGGAGAAAAGAGAACAGTTTGAAGGAACATTGAGAAAGCAGAGTCAGTAGGATCCTGATTGGATGTGAACATAGAGGAGGAGGATGACTCAGGTTCCTGGCTCAGGCAGAGTGTTAAACCAAGTGCCAGACTCTTCCTTCTGAGTACAGGGCCCTCTTGAGTGTGGGGCCCCATGTGACTACACAATTTGTACATCCTTGAAGCCTGCCCTGGGAGTAAGATCGCCTGTCGGCCTCCCATGGGAACATACCCTGCAGCTTTCTGTACCCCAGCATTTTATAAACACAAGTGTCAGTGAGCTCCTCCCCTTTTCAGTTCATTTTCAGCACATTTCCCTAGATTTTTCAGTGCATTTCTCTAGATTTTATGTTCCCTATGCTTTTAAAATGAAAGTGCAAAATCTCCTGAGAGTGGGAGGAAGACACCTGCTTATGGCTCTTGGTTAGCTTCCCAGTCTTCTGGTATTCGCCCGGTGTGTTAACTCTTACTGTTGCTGAGCCTAACTGTGTAGTTGGAAATTCACCTTAAATGAGGGAACCTGGTAGGAGCAGGGAAGCAGTCAAGAGAATATAGTGATATGGTCAGCATCTGGAAAATCCAGGTATTTGGTATGTATTGTGTTATATACATGGGCTTTAATTAATATTTCTTAAGTGAAAATAAAATCCATCTGTGCCACTAATCATCAGTAGTGTTTCACTCTTCATGTACTTTTACATATAAAAGTAGTATATATTTTTTAAGTGAATCAGGGTGTGCTAGTGGCTGCCTTCTTCCAATTTGCTCTTCCACTCTGGGTACTATCCGAAGAGCCAAACTGGACTTTCCCCCTGATGTAGGGTTCCTAACTGACCTTCTGTATTTTATGCTCATTTTCTGACTTTAAGTTAATGCCCTGGGTAGTGTTTACATTTTTCATTACTTCTTTGGATTCTATTTTTATTTATTTCAGAGATCCAAAATACTTAAGATAATGCATTTTAGTAATATATATCTATTAGTCTCTTTCTGTTACTTATAACAGAATACCTAAAACTGGGTAATTGATAAAGAAATAAAATTTATTTCTTACAGCTTCAGAGTCTGGGAAGCCCAAAGTCCAGGGAATGCATTTGGTGAGGGCCCTAGCGGTGGTGGCTCTATAGTGTTGCAGGGTATCAACCGGCGAAATGGCTGAGCAAGAGAGGGAGAGCTAAGCTTCTCAGTTGCCCTCCTTATAAAGCCACAACCTACCTAATCATCTTTTAAAGGCCCCACCTTCAGTTACCATAATAGGATTTCTCACCCTCTTAACACTGTCACAGTGGGGATTAAGTTTCTAATACATGAAACTTTGGCGAACACATTCAGCCCATATGAGGGTATTAAATTTTCATTTTCATTTTATTTTGATCCATGACTCACACATACTTTGAAAGATCCACATTTTGATTCTATATAAAAGAAAACCTAAATTGAAGAGAAAAATTATAGTTTTAAGGAACTGTTCACAATATTTGGAGGCACACAGCAATAGTGCAGTTATTTTACAAACAAAATGAATAATCGGTGGTTCATTTTAATTAGACAGAGAATCAGAGTGAAATTTGAACCACAGTGAAGTGAATTCTTTTCAGAAAGGAATTGGTTTACTTTTAGTTTTATTAAGGGGTATCTTTCTTTTAGATTATCCCAATGTGTACCAATCAGAATACTAGGTATCCATTTCAGTCTTCTCCATTTTAAAGAAATAATTTATTTTAATGCTTAGTTCAGGTTTTCGAGTGACCATCATGTAAGTGTGGTAGTGTAATAAAATCAGGCAACATTATTTGAAGCAGATGCTTGTGAAGTCATCAGAAAATAGTCATCTCTAATTCCAATTTATATATGGAAGTTATTACTTACCCCTTATTTTAATAAATGAACTGACATGCTTAGGCAGTTTTTCTTAATGAAAAGCGACAAAGCTTGGCATATTGTCAGGTCTTTATATAACTTCTCTAAGCTTTTGTTTTCTCATTCGTAAAATATTCTCATAGGATAATTGTAGTGATTACCTGAGATAATGCATAAAAAAATTGAGCACACTGCATGTCTTGTAGTAAATGTTTAATATATGTTTGTGATTATCATCCAATAATGTACATCATTATTTTAACAAATATATTTTTAAATATTAAATTGTTTGTTATATATGAGAAGTTGTGTTGGCTTTTAAATAACAAACTCATCCAGATTAATATAAGAAATTTTAAAACTCAGCAGCTAACTCATTCTTCCACCTTTTCCCTGTTTTTGGTAGACTGAAAAGGCCTATTTTGGTTTTTTTTGGTTTCTAAATTATTTCTCAACTTAGAATGAATTATTCCAAAAGGGAATTAGTCTTGGGAAATGGCTTCTCTCAGAGACTACATTGGTCTGTTCCAATCAGAATTCATGCTATTGGGTAAACATGAACAAGAACAAAATCCTGGATTTGGGTCAGAAAAGTGGCTAAGCAGCTGTTTGTTGGATAAGCCCTAACTTGGTGGTTTGAGTGAAGGATCGGGGATGGGGCTTCATTACAGTTTCAGTGTAAGCCACTATTTGGTATGTCCGGGTCTTTAAACAAAGAGAAGAAAAGTATTCATTCACATCTGTTTTGTCAGTTCTGGGCTCCACATTTTAAGAGAGTGAGTGAGTGATGAACCAGAATAGGTCCTGA